AAGGAAGCGGGGTGGGGTGGGGGGAGGAGCGCGGGGTGCCCTCTAGTGCGCGCCATCCCGCTTCCCGCGCGGGCTCGGGAGGGGGCTGCGCCTGCGCGGTGGAGGCGGCGGGCGGAGCCCCGCCCCTCCCGCCTGGAAAGGAGCATGCGCGGACAAGCGCGGCCGGGGAACGGAAGGGCGGGGGCTTCCCTCTCATTCGCCCGGGGAGGCGCCGCTGGGGCGGGGCCGGGTTTCTGAGGCCGGGACTGCGCATGCGTGCGAGGTGGCGGGGCGCTGGGGGGGCCTGGGTGGGGAGAGGCGCCACGCGATCAAACGTCAGCAGAAACGTAACGGAGGACGGCGGGGGCGCGTCTTAAAGGGCCAGGCAGCGCCCCGGTGGGCCGTTGGCGGAGCCGTTAGGCCGCCGCCCGTGGGACGGCCCCCGCTGCTCCATGTCCCCTCAGGCGGGTCGGCCCCCGCCGGCCGGCGTTGGGCTCGGGACCAGAGGGCGGCCACTGGTGTCTTGAGAGCCAGCCACTGGTGTCCGTGGGGCCCGAGGGGGGAAGAAGGCTGACAGGGCCGGGTGTGTCTGGGGGGACAGCCTGAGCTCTGAGGGTTTACGCCCCAGCGCTTTCAGGTGTGGAAGCGTTCGGGGTGCGGTGCCGGCCTAAGCGATCCCCTGAGGTGTCCTCCAGCCGCCTGTCTCCTGTAGTGTCCCAGATGGCGTGTCCGGCCAGGCCGCGAGGCCTTGGCTCCCTGCCTGCCCACGGGTGGAGGGTGTTGGCCTCAGGAAGGAGCTGGAACCCTGCCCGGGGTTCCACTGTGCCAAGGAGGGCCCTTCTCGCCTGGTCTGAGTGCTGCTGTGGGCTTGGCGGTGTGTTAGGTCCTGAGTGACCCTCGGGGCAGTGCGATGATGAAGAAGTGTAGGGCGGTTGGCGGGGGTAGCGCAGGAGGAGCCGGGGATCTGGGTGGGGAAGTAACTTTGAGCAGTCCTACCACCGTACCTGTGACCTGCTTGGGTGGGCCCTCACCAGAGCCCTCCGAAAAATGCCTCCCCTATGTAAAACTGAACCCCTCTCTTAGGATGCTTGGTTTGTTGGTTTTTTTACAATGGGGGTGGTGGGACGCTGGCACAGGTTGCCCAGAGAAGTGGTAGATGCTCCATCCCTGGAAATATTCGAGGTCAGGTTGGATGGGGCTCTGAGCAACCTCGTCTAGTTGAAGATGTCCCTGCTCATTGCAGGGGGATTGGACTAGATGACCTTTAAATGCCCCTTCCATCTCAAACCATCCTGTGATTCAACGGGGTGTAGTGTCATTGAGTTTATGGCTCCTTGTTTTGGGTCACTCCCTATAATTCAGATCAGTGAAATTCAAGCTGTGGCCAGCCGCTCGGGAAACGCAGCGATCACGTACCTGGCCACAGTCCTTCCCTCCTCCTCCCTTCCCTGGGAGCAGTGCCCCAGCACGCCCCGCGAGACGCAGAGCAGCACCCTCCATACATACATCGCAGACACGCGTTTGGCCGGTTTCACAGGCGCGATATGGCGCAACCCCGCGCTCCCGGTGGCGTGTCAGCGAGGCCAGTACACGTAAGCAGTACAAGGCTGGTCCTCTGTGCCTGGCATGCTGGAGCAGGGGGCTGCCTGCCCAATTGCTGCTAGCAGGGCCTGTGGGGAGGAAGGCAAGGGGAAAGCAAGCCTGTGTTGGTAGTTGCTTCTGAGCTGATGGAGCAGACATGGGGAGCAGCATCCAGAACGCAAAACCAGCAAAATTTGCTGTGGTGACTTTGGGGTCGGCCTTCGGGGAGGCCAGGTGATGTGATCACCCGGACTGTATGGCTCTCGGAGAGCACAGGGGTGCTTTCATTTGGGATTGCATGTGTAAGACTGACTTCACCATGTCCTTCTATCCCTTCAAAAATACCAAATTTTGAGTTAATTTTTATGGCAGATGTTTTTGCAATTATGTGGCATGTGCAAAGCAGTCCCCCTTGGAAACAGCAAAAGGGAAATTGTTTGGTGTCCTTAAAGTCTAGAAGAAAGGGAGATTTCCTAGACTACAGAATTATTAAGTGGATGACAGTGAAGAGTTTCCAAGGAAGCCTTGCTCTTTCATGCAGCGAGCAAAGAGGGAGGATGCCAAGGAAAACATACCATCCGTGGCCTCTCCTAATGAGCGCGTGCAGGCTGCGCCAGGGGTATGGTCTGCTGACACCAGGGCTCATGAATGTCCCTGCATGCATCAGGCAGTGCCAGAGTTCATACTCTTGTGTTTAAAGCAGGAGATAATACTAAGTAGTGTACTGGTGTGGGATTTACAGCAAGCCCTAGTGATCCTGCCGGATACAGCCAGTTCAGTCTCCTCTCCATAGCACGGGAAATTTATCTAAATAGTTTACTGCCGAGCAGGGCTAAAATTAATGTCAGGATGTGGACATTAGTGGGTTTCTACTTGGCTCTGTTCCGTGTGACCATTTTCATGCTGGTGAACACGAGTGGCAGTTTATTAAATTAGGCAGCAGTAGTATGAGACCATGGGTTTTGACCAAAATAGTTGGGAAAGGAGATGTCAGGAGCTTTAAAGTACTGCCTTTTTTCATGTGCAGGCATTGATTGCATTACCCGCTGGCCTCAGAGCAGCATTTTCTGGTTTCAGGAAATGACTGCCTTGTTAGCGTTTTTGTTCTGACTGCATAAAGCATTAAGGGGAGGGTGCGACCGTACGTGAAGTTTTTCTGCTTTTCGTTTTAATAGCTGAGAGCATTAGTCTTCTTCCTCCCGTGACCCACCAGTTGAGGAACATGGATCTTGGGCATTAAGTATGTCAGCACCCGGCAGCCAGCACGGCCAGTGAAACACTGATTGGTGTCTGGGACGCTCGTCTGTCTGGGCTGCGGGAGGGGATGGCTGTGCTGTGGTGCCGTGCCACCCTGCCGGTGGGTACCGCAAGGCACAAACCGAAATGAGTAACTGCGGAGTGGGGAAGTGCCTTTTCTGTCACCTTCTCCCTCTGTTTTTGGACCCAGACGTACTGTTCCTTGGGTCTCTTTTCTTGAATCATGGCTTTTTTAGGTTTGTTGGTGATTGCATTGTCCCTCAGCCTTGGGGACTGTCTGCAGATGGGGCTTGGCTTTGCCCATTTTACTTGGCAAACAGCTGGGCTCTTCTGTTTTTTCCTGAGCTCCTTCTCTCCTTTCCCTCCTGGTGAACTGGAAGTGATGGGACCTGTGAAATACTTGCATGCATGCCAAGGCGGGGAGTTGCTTTCAAGGAGATTGCAGCTGCTTTTGCACTAGAGCGGTTGAGGAGTCGATCTCCGTGCAACGGGGCCTTGCGCTGACTAAGCGGCAGTGCCATTTCCTGAGCTGCTCCTCTCCCCGCAGGGTTCCTGCATGCCGGGGCTTGATATCAGCAAACGAGAGGGTGCTCCAATCTGTACTACCCCTTTGGCAGCACGGGCCCGCTCCTTTCCTGGTGCATCTCCTGCCCTGGGTGGTCCTGTGGCCGAGATGAGCCACGCTGCTCCAGGCTGTGGTCACCAGCTTTTCTTCAACTGCCTTTGCCCAACAGGTCCCTGAGCCTTTACCAGCGGCGTGTCCTGTCCGTCGGCAGCTGGAGTGGGGACAGGCTGGGCACCCCGATAACTCCCTGAGCAATCCCACTGCTGCCTCTGCTGCTGATCAGCGCTTTTCTGCTTGGACCAGCCCTGAGATAGAGCACGGTACTGTATTCTTCAGCTGGCACTCTGTGACCTTCTGAAAGCACCCAAAGTTGATCTTGCCATCATCCAAGTCTAAAAACCTGACAAAGAGAAGCAATACGCTGCACTACTTCACGCAGGAAATCCAAAACTCAGTTGAGGACATGGGGATGCAGCTACGTGCCGTACAAGAGAAATGGGATCCACTCAGGCAAATGCTTTTTCACCTGTGCTGGCCTTTGTGAGGATCCTCCCTGCCCTTCAGGAAAACTTTCTGTCCGTATGGTCTGTGCACCAGAAGAAGATTTGACATGGTTTGGCATGTGTTTTTTAAGTAATTATTACTGCTCTTTAGGATGATATATAGCAAAAAGACATTTGAGAACTCAGCACTTTCAATATTTAGGATCTCAAATTAGTCATTAATAAACTCTGCATGTCAATCCTCATAGCTCACATTTACCAATCCTGCAGAGAATGGGTGAGAAGCTGGTGAGAGAGCACCACCTACTTTTGAAACATTTCCATGTAGAGTCATACTAGTTTCCATAAATGAACAGAAAGGACAGTAAACAGGAAGCAGAATGTAAATGGCATAACTTAGAAAAGCAAATAAAGGCTTTGTTGTCTGAGGAACCCCACTGCTGTGTCCCTGCAGAGTCATTGCATCTTACCTTGGAGAGCCAGGAGATAACATGGCCTGTGTTACAAGCCTTTAAAATGTGAATTTGTGCCAGTGCGAGATGTTTTGAAACACAGGTTCTTATTTTTAAGATGGCGACTTAAGTAACTGTGGGATGGAAATGTGTCATCAAAGATGATGAAGTGTGATGATCTGAGCAAAATAGACTCTTAATCTCAGTGCTCAGCCCTCAGAAAGTTGATACAAATCTACACCCTGTAACCACACCTCGGGGAAAGAAGTACAGGTTAGGCACTATATATACTCCATACAGTGTGGGTTCTTACGTTGGTGGTTGATTTTCAAGGTCAAATACCCAACAAAAGCATTCACAATACCCAAACTTGTTCCAGATTACCTGAAAAACGTGACCTCTCAGAAGGGGTTCAGTTTCACATACCTGCTTAAGAATTAAAAACCTTCTCGGTTCCTTGGCAACACCCAGCAAGTTACTGGGTAGCCTACAGAAGTTAAATATTTTAAAAGTAAGCACTGCCTGACAATGTGTCACTGGATGGAGTGCCTGTTGTATGCCAGTATGGATTTACAGCCCAGAGAGTAAAAAGCAATTATGGTTATAAAGTGATTATGGGTTAAAGCCTGGGGAAAAAGATAGCAAAT